ATACGTTGAGCTTTAAGAAAAGAAATAACTCTACTGGGAGTGTGATCTAAAGTACCCTTCCACTCAACACGCGGTACACCTGGCATAGCCAGCGTCACGGTCTTGGCGTGACAATCAAGAATAGCATAATGGGGCAACAACCAGTCCATGCCCAAGATAATATTGAAGTCAACCATAGTGAGTAACAATAAATCAGCTATGGTCTCAAAACCACTAAGAGCAACCAAACACGACCGATAAATGCGGTCCGCAATAAGAGAATCTCCCACAAGAGTAGAAACATAAACAGGGGAACTCAAAGAATCCCGAGATACACCCAAATGCGGAGCAAAATAAGAAGACACATAAGAATAAATAGATCCTGGATCGAATAGAATTGATGCATCTCTATGACAAACCAGTATAATACCTGTGATGACAGAATCGGAGGCAACAGCCTCGATACGGGCAGAAAGGGCATAGTGTCTGGCCTGGCCTCCCCCTCTAGGGTGACCTCTACCTCCCCGACCTCCACTTATAGCTGGCTGAGTAGGTGGGGTAGCAACTGGAGCTGTGTACCAAAAGTACCAAAATCGGACCTCAATTTGTCCCTCAAATCATCACTCAAAGGTCTCCAATTAGACAAACCCTAACCCCCCAATTACCACTGATTTTCCTTAATTTTTCATGCTTAAATTGATAAAAATCATTCCAATAACGAGTTTAGGGACCAAAGACCTTACCCCAATGAACTCCTCTGAAAATCCCTCTTGAAAAGTACTCCCCAAGCTTCTTCCCATTTTGAAAAAGATGAAAAATGGCTAAATTTCGCGAAGGCAAGAATTTATATGTTCTGCCCAGCGATTTCGGCATTTGCGGCCCTGGAATCGCATCTGCGGTCCGGCTTCTGCGAGGACTTCGTCGCATCTGCGACTTTCACTTAAAGGCCAATTTTTGCATTTGCGGTTACCCTTCTGCAGGTGTGGTACCGCTTTTACGGTGAATTACCTGCATCTGCGGAACCTGCTGATCCTTCCCAAATCCGCATATATGCTTGCTCTGCCGCTTATGCGGCTCTGCACCTGCGGGACCCAAACCGCAGGTGCGGTTATGATAGTAAACCTGCTGTTGCAGCAAACTTCAAACTCCAAATCCTTCTGTCAACCATTCAAATTCATCCCGAGGCCCCCGGGACCTCAACCAAAGGCATCAACAAGTCACAAACCACTATCCAAACTTGTACCAATCCTTAAAACACCTAAAACAACATCGAAACCTCGAATTAACCATGTATTTAAGCCTAAGAACTCCAAAATTCTCAAAATACGCGTTCGATCAAAAAGTCTCTCAAACTTCGTTCGAATGACCTGAAATTTTATACACACGTCACATTCAACACTACAGAGCTACTCCAACTTTCGGATTTCCATTCTGACCCTCGGATCTAAATCTCACTATCGGACCGAAAACTTCAAAAATTCAACTTTCGGCATTTCAAGCCTAATTAGCTACGGACCTCCAAAACACAATCCGAACACGCCTCTAAGCCCAAAATCACCCAACGGAGCTAACGAAACTATTAGATTTCCATTCCGAGGCCGTCTTCACATTGTTCTGACTACGGTCAACTTTCCAACACTTAAGCTCTCATATAGGGACTAAGTGTCCCAAAACTCTCCGAAACTCAAAATCGAACATCCCAACAAATCAAAATAGTAGAAATAAACTTGGGAAAAGTAGTTAATAGGGGATCGAGGCGTTAATTCTTAAGACGACCGGCCGAGTCGTCACAAACACGATCTTGGATTAATTCCTTAGGCTTTTACTCAGACTTCAAAGCTCCAAATCACTTGAATTCATTCCATATTATCTACATAGCTCGGAATCACTCCTGCAAGGCATAAAATATATAATTAGTGCAAAACACTAGTGATTAAAGCTCAAACTCAATTAAAGTGCAGTACATTAGAGTATAATAAGTGACTAAAATACACAATTACAGGTCACATCCAAATTTGAAGATAGATATTGTGAACATAACAAATTAAATTTGAACGAGGGAACAAACAGGATTCTATTTAGGACTAGGTCTGAAAAAAGGGTAAATCTCCCTGCCTGAGTTACTTTTATCTTATAGGAATTTGGAAGATTAACAGTTAAAAGGTAAGGAAGTATATGATGATAAGCTATAATTACGTATTTTAGTCGCTTATTATACTCTAAATTATTGCACTTTAATTGAGTTTGAACTTTAGTCGCTAGTATTTTGCATTAATTGTGTATTTTATGTCTTGTAGGAGTGATTCCGAGCTAAGTAGATATTATGAAATGAATTCAAATGATTTGGAGCTTTGAAGTCTAAGTAAAATCCCAAGGAATTAAGCTGGGATCGTGTTAGGGGATCAACAGATGATAGTTAAGAACGAAACGAAGAATCAAGCGGGCATACGATGCATTGTCTAGTAAAATACACATAACTTTTCACTCAGAAATCCGTTTGGGATCCAATATCTATTGTTGGAAAGCTATTTAAAAAGTGATATAATTTTCATATTTTACGTTTTCCCGAATTCCCACTACCACGATGCGTGGAGCGGCAGGGCGCGCCACGCCTGTGGAAATTTTCTGTAGCCTGTCAGAATCAGCTCTCTCAACTTCCCCATAAGCACATTGTGTGGCGCGTCGCCCCATGTAGCGCGCCTGTGCAAATTTTATAGAGCCAGAGTCCTATTTCGCGCAGGAAAAGGTGTTTCATCTGGGCCCGACCCTATTTGGTATAAATACATGTAAAAACACTATTTTGAGGACTTGGATAGACTTTTGATATACTTCAGACCTGGGATTCGACCTAAGGAGGCAAGAACACACTAGGAGCAAGGCGGAGAATTCTTCTACGAGCTTTTCACTTCCTTATTCCTATTTCCATTATTGGTTATGAATTCTAGTATTATAGTTATGCATACTATTATGAATAACTAATTTGTTATTCAGGGTTTTGATGGAACCTATTGGAGGATGATTTTGTTGTTACGTTAATATAGATTTGCTGTAGCTTTTTATGTATTTGTTCAACTACGTTTATATATGGTTAGTTGAAGAGCTCTCAATTGACTGTGCCTATTTAGTGTGTATTACTCGGAAGAGAGTGCATATTTAGGTAGCTATTGAATAACATCACTCCTAACGTATATGAGGGATCAATACAAAGAGTTTAAAGGTGGGATTAGGAATAACGAAACCTTGGTGCGATCCGAGTGAGCCGTAACTTAGTGCCAGCTAGTGTAATTCAGAAGAATATATCTAGTAAATTATGGTAGTTACTCGGGAGAGAATTACGACACTCAGAGAGCTCATGATCGGTAGAGAAAACTTATGCAAATTTATAGAAAACGTAGCGGAAAGGATTCCAAAAATAGGGGAAATCATAACTCTAGACCTCCTTAATCTTGTCTCCAACCCTTAGTATCCCTAATTGTTAATCTACTAATTTAATTTGTTAGTTTATTTGATACAAAAATTTTAATATTTATAACATAGGAATTGTTCGAGCTTGTCTTCTTAGCAATATAGAACAGCTATAGCTAAGCTTCAGTTCTCTGTGGGATTCGACTCCGGACTTGTAAATCGGATTATATTTGCAATGACCGCTTAGTCCTTTTTATAAGGCATAGTTGGACATGACCAGAGGTACTTGGACATATCTCTTAAGTACAAAAAGAAATGCTTTTATCATTCTTCAATCTTTTATTTCCATGGTGGAAAGACAATTTGACACAAAAATAAAAACAATAGGATCTGACAATGCCTTAAAACTTGGGTCTAGTGTTACAGCCGCTACATACTTTCTTTTAAAAGGAATTATCCATCAAACAAGTTATGTTGCTACTCCACAACAAAATGATGTGATAGAGTGCAAATACAAGCATTTGTTGGAAGTTTGTCGGGCTCTTTTATTCCAGTCACATCTTCCTATTGCCTATTGGGGAGATGGTTTGCTTACTGCTACATTTCTTATTAATCGATATCCTACCAAACTTTTGCATTACAAAACACCCTTTGAAATTCTTTTCACAAGCCTCCTGAATATTCAATTTTAAGATCCTTTGGTTGTCTGTATTTTGCCTCTACCCTTTCCCAAGGAAGAGGGAAGTTAGACCCTCGTGCAGTGGCTTGTATATTAATTGGTTATCCCTTTGGGAAGAAAGGCTACAAATTATTGGATCTACAGTTTTGCCACATTTTTATCTCTAGAAATGTTGTCTTTTATGAGTCCACTTTCCTTTATCTTCTAAGTTGTCCCCTATTTCTCCTCTATTTCCTTCTTCTCCCACCTCACCTATAGATCACCCTTCCTATATTGTTTTACCTACTACTTCTACATCTCCACCTTCCTCCTCTTCTCCTGATCTTTCTCCTACTGATTTCTTTACCTCTCCAACTCACTCATATCTCCTAATATTTCTCTTATTCCTACTAATTTTTCTACTGCTTTCCATAGTCCTAACTCACCCAGTGCTATCTCCAGTCCCCCACTTTCTACCTCTCCTTCTCCTGTTATGGTGGAAGATGTATTGTGCAGGTCTCTTAGGGAATATAGAACCCCTGCTTACTTGTCTGATTACATCTGTGGTGCTGTACATTTAGCAGATGTCTCCACCTCATGTTTTCTATCCCCTCTTTCACCTAACCAGTTTTCATTTACTGCTTTATCCCATTCTAATCAGACTTTACTCAATTATATCCCTCATATTCGAGAACCTATATCTTATTTCCAGGCTGCCATGCACCCTAGTTGGCAGGAAACGATAGCTAAGGAAATTGATGCCATTTTGACTAATAAAACTTGGGATGTAGTGAGTGCCTCTACCAGTTGGAAAAAAGGCTCTTCCGTGCAAATAGGTCTATAAGGTCAAACTCAAATCTGATGGGAGTGTGGAAAGGCTTAAGGCTCATTTGGTTATTCGTGGTGATACTCAGAGAGAAGGTATAGATTTTACTGAAACTTCTCTCATGTGGTCAAGATGACCACCATCAGATGTATTATAGCTATTGCAGTTAAGAAAGGTTGGAGGTTATATAAATTGGATGTCAATAATGCATTTTTACACGGTGATATATCTGAGGAGGTGTATATGAATTTTCCAGCTGAGTTGCAACTTCCCTCTCCTAATATGGTCTGTTGCCTAAAGAAATCCCTCTATGGTCTCTGATAGGCTTCCCATCAATGGTATGCTAGGTTGACTGATGCTCTGAATTTTAAGGGTTACTCTCATTCCCTTAACGACTACTCTCTTTTTTTACAAAAAGGCTGGGGATTCTGTTTCACTAGTGGCTGTTTATGTGGACGACATTTTACTCACTGGCAACAATTACTCAAAACTTGAGGATCTCAAACTTTTTTTTGGACACTGAATTAAAAATTAAAGATTTAGGGGAGTTATTTTTTTTTCTTGGTATGAAAATTTTGCGTGAGCCCAGGGACTAATTCTCAGCCAAAGTAAATTCACACTTGAGTTGCTTACTGAATTTGATTGTTTTGATTTATCTCCTGCCCACTTTCCTCTTGACCAATCTTGTAAGCTTCTTTCTGGTGTTGGTGAACCTCTTTCTGATCCCACCATTTATCGTCGTGTTCTTGGTTAACTCAATTTCTTGACACATACTCGCCCCGATCTTGCTTCACAGTCCAACACCTTAGCCAGTTTATGCAAGACCCTCGTGCTCCTCATCTTTCCGCTGCTAAACACTGTCTTCGCTACCTCTTGTTTGACCCAAGTTTGGGTTTTTTTTGAATGCCTCTTCTTCCCTTGACCTTCTTGCTTTTTGTGATTCTGATTGGGGCTCTTACCCTAACATTCGTCGCTCTGTTAGTGGCTATTTCATCAGCCAGGTGGGAGTCCATTTCTTGGAAATCTAAGAAACAACCTTTTGTTTCATTGTCCTCCGTCGAAGCTGAGTATTGTTCCATGCGCCAGGTTGTTGCCGAGTTGACTTTGCTTGTGTGTCTCTTGTCCGATCTTTCTATCTCTCCTTCTCTACTTGTTCCTCTTTTCTCCGATAGCCAGGCTGTTATCCACATAGCCAAGAAAACCATCTTTCATGAGCGCACCAAGAATGTTGAACTCGACTGTCATTTTGTCCGGTAGCAGTTCCAATCCGGTCTCATTTCCTTATCCTTCTTTCCCACTCAGTCCCAGCTCGCCGACATTTTTACCAAATCCCTTCCTCCGTCTCAACATTGTGTCCTCAACATCGTGTCCTTCTGGGCAAGTTGGGGGTGTTGTCCTCCCCCTCCAACTTGGGGGGGGGGGGGGGGTGTTGACATTGATTCACCATTAGATACTGGCAACTCCCCTGCTCAGACTTTAGCCAAGCAAAAGGAGGCATTACACTCAAATGAAAAGACATAAGGCACAACCCTAGTTACTTATTTGATCACTTTACATGGGCTGCTCATACGTGCCACATAAGGAGCTACATCTAGAAGTTTTCTGTGAGTTATTTATATATGTGTATACATTTGGTTAGTTAGGCACATGTTAGGGAGCGGGTGGATGACAGCTCAGTTAAGTACATATTTTACTTTCATTTGTACATAAACAATTTTACAGTATGAGTTTACACAAAAAAAAAAAATTATATTTTCTCACAAAACTTTTCTGTCATTCTTCTCTCCAAAATTAACAGGTTCCTATTGAGGAATTTCTCATCTTTTTAGCTGCATTTTGTCTTTTGGTTGTTTCTCCTCAATTTAAATTGATTTGGTCAGTCCATAAAATAAATTTTGTATTTCAGAACAAAAAACTCAACCCCCTACTATTGCATAACATATTGTCAATACAAAAGATTTTAAATGTTTGATTTTGAAATATTGGATAACTATTCACATTTGTATTGAATTTTTATTATATAAGTGATTGCGATGAATCTTGACCTGCTTGAATGAATCAAATTAGTGAGATTTTAGCATTATTATTGGACTTTTAAAGGATTGTTCAGGTGGAATAAAAAAGGTTATCCACATGTACCTATACAAAAAAAATCATTTAAAAATTACTCCATATAATACAGCTTTATACGTTGTATACCTTCCAAATACATAATCACATAATTATATACAGTCAACCCTTTGTAATAATAGTCTCGTTTGTTCCAATATATTTTGGCTTTTCATAGTGAATGATTATTATACACCTATAACAACATTTGACGTTTAAATATTTTTTGGCTGTTATAAATAAAAATTATCCAAAAATTAATTTTTACCTAGATTAAAACATTATAAGTAGAAAGTAAAATAAGAATACGTATATTATCTAGATTAAAACAATAGAATAAAAAAACTAACTATCCTAATAGTGAACAATTTTTTTTGTCGCTAAAAGTAATTAAATATTTTAAATTATTATAAGTTATTTTGAATATAATCAAACTAAATATCCAACAAGAAATAATCCCCACATTATAATTTTGCATAGCTAATCCATGCATAATAATTCCTATATTTCTAATTCTTGCATAATTAATCTCATATTATTAATCCCTGCATAACTTAGATTTTTACCTAGCTATACTATAATAAAAACCTATTTACCACCTTTATTTAGGTTCCTTATTGATTATTTTATAAAAAAAAAAAAGAAAAAAAATTCAAGATCCCTTAGTTTTAGCTTGTAAGTTACACGACACCCACCCTATTTCAATAAGGAATTTTTACATTCATATACACTATATGAAACTATATTACCCTTCCTACTCAAGTTTTACTATAATTACATTTTATATACTCAATTACCATTTATGTACATTTTAAGGGAATTAGTGATAATAATTAGTGTCCTAAAATTACTCTAACATATCTTCCACTCCCCCACGTTTCTCTCTCCACATCCCACCCCCCTCCCCCGCGTATCTTGCACAAGAGAGCAACAATTCTATCATTGACAACCATTAAAAAGCTTTGAAGCTTTGAATTCGAATTTGGGTTTCCAAAAAATATTATTTGTTTGGATTGGATGTTGTTGCAAAGAATTGAGAATTCTCTCTACGTCTCTCTCTATCTCTCAATCCCGAATTTCAGTAATGTAAAGCAAAGAAAAAGAGAGCAGCAATTCCACCATTGACAGCCATTAAAAAGCTTTGAAGATTTGACTTCGAATTTGGGTTTTCAAAAATCATTATTTGTTTGGATTGGGTGTTATTGCAAATAATTGGGAATATGATTTGGAGTTTATATCTCAATTTTGAGGAGTTTTGGTGAAGATTAGATTTGGTTTTGGCTGAATTTCAGATTGAAACTCAAAGAAGAAGAAGAAGAAGACATGACATACATTATATTGCAGAAATTGTAGAAAAATTGTATTTTGTTGTTTATATTTTTTATTTTATTTATTTAACTATTGTATGAAAGTTGAAAAACATTATATAAAAATTACATTTAAGTTGTATGATATTGTAATTGTATATAACTGAGTAGAAATAATGTATGAAAATTGTAGATAAGTTGTATAATATATAATTAGTTGTATGAAATTTGTTTTTACTATGTATATAAATCAGATACAAAATATACAAAAGATATTGTATAAATTTTGTATAAAATTTGGATTTAAGTTGTATGTTATTGTAGTTGTATTTAACTGGGTAGAAATAATATATGAAAGTTGTAGATAAATTGCATAATATATAATTAGTTGTATGAAATTTATTTTTACTATGTATAAATTAGATACAAAATATATAAAAGACATATTGTATAAAATTTGTATTTAAGTGGTATAATATTGTAGTTGTATATAACATCGTTGAAATAATGTATGAAAGTGTAGAAATAATGTATAACTGGCATGATTAAAGTTTTGATTTTTTGTATAGTATTTGTTTTGGTTGATAAAGGGAAGCTTCCAAATTTGTGAGGTAACGTGGCTGACTGGCTAAGCCCATCCCTTTGCTCCTTTCCAGAATTTTAGATTTCAATCACCACTTAAATTTTAGCTTAACTTATGTTCATTATTGTAGAGTAAATATAGAAACTATGATTAAATTCAACTGCAATTCATATCAAGTTGATGAGGAAATCTGGTCTTGTCATTTGATGGTTTGATGTTTGGATTTAATTTATATATGAAAAGAAGAACTTAGAAGGAGGGACCATGTTTGTTATAACTTATAAGTAATTAATTGGCTGTATAATTATTTTGAGGAGTACCTAAAAAGAACGTTAAAAAAATCATTTGAGAAGATAAGAGGTGGTGGAGAATTCATATCTTTGCGCTCACTTCACTAGAATTTATCATCAGTTTGTCAATCAACTTTCCGATTTAGATTTAACTGTCGATGATCAAGCTTTGTTCTTCATTAGTGTTCATATTGTTAACTTGATGCTTCCTATGGTGTACTCACCAGAAAGAATAGCGATCTATGTATGCAGAGTTTGAATGGGTTTTCAAAATAATAAAGACTTTTAATTTTCTAAAAAAAAAAAAATTCCAATGCCGTGGAAGAAAACAGAAAAGTCGAAAGTTGTCAGTTCTGTGTTCGATTTAAGAGGAAAGAGAAGAGGAGAGAAAAAAGAAGGAAAATGGTGTAACTTCACTTAATTGAAGGCACTAATAATGGATTGGAAGCCTTTTAAGGTGAAATGTATATATTTTGTAAACAAAACTTGTGTAGGTAGGGTAATTTATTAAACATAAATATTTAGGATAATAAAGTTTCCAATAGTGTATAGGAATGAAAAAATCCCTAAATTTTATACGCTTTTGCGGCTACTATATGTAAATAATTTCGGCCGTGGGCTAAAAATGACCTTTGCCCAAGTTACACATTTGGCCGATTGGCCAAAAATGATTATGTCTGCTAGCCAAAATATAAAACAAAAAAAAGGTATGAAATATGTATATTATATGTATGTTGTACATTAATATATAAAAAAAATTATACATTATGCCGGCTATTATTTTTGAAGCAGCTACATTGTGTAGTTTTCCCTACTCATTATCGGATAATGTCATAAAATAAACTACAAATATTAACGGCATATATGAAGTAAAAATGTAGCTTCAAAGTAGTAAAAATAAAAATTGATACTTCGTAACTATTGTAGTCTTCGTTAAGAAAATTACTAACTTTGGATCTAACTCGTCCCAAAAGCTAGATCACGGTGTTAAGTTGTCCAAACTTACATAAAGATACTATATCCCATGCCCTCAATCAGTTCCTTACATGCCCAAGGGTGGATATTTTGGAGGGTGAATAATACAACATAGGCACATCATTGAGTAACGTAACATCAAGCATAGTTTTGGCTCTGATTCCATGTGAAGACAATGAAGCTCGAACCTAACTCTATCTCAAACACCAGCACACGAGGTGATAATTGTTCAAAGTTATATGGAGAGACTACAACATATACCCTCAATGTAGGACTCAACAACCTTAATTGAAGTACTTGATGAAAACACTATGTTGTTTTCGGGATCATCTGGGTTAGAAGACAATTAAAATGGAAAAACAACAGTTGTTTTTCCACTAAAATGGAATGACTAATGGAGAATTTATTCAGTCAATTAGTGCATATGAGCATAGGAAATAGCACTGCACAAGTTTACCTTGATGTTTCACCTCCTGCATTTCTAAAGGCA